AAGTTGTTTTTGAATTTGTTCCATTTAAAAGAAACTTTTTTTCTGAATATATTTTATGTTTGTTACTTGTATAACTTCAAGAATATATTATTTTGCTTTCCTTGTTTATATTTATGTAAATTGGAGATTTTTAATACTACAAAAAGGAAAATAAGCGCTCATATTGCATATTTGTGCAATCAATAAAGTATTTTATTAAACGCAAGACGTGTTTAACACGTTTATAATACGTTTTAATACGTATCAATACGTATATTAAACGTTTAAAACACGTTTTGTGTTAACTAGGATGAAAATTCAAATGTAAATAACTTGCCAGGACGTTGTAATCTGATTTTGATACTTATATCTAAGTGATCCCCATAGTAAGGGCTATCATTCCGTCAAAGAGTTTTCCCGGGTCAGAAAGTTAAGGTTAGAACCTATTTTATAACACTGTGGTATCGAACTCGCCCATACTTAAATTCACATAGTCTAAAGCCCGTTCTCCATTCAGAACTTTTTGCGCTTTGGAGAAGCGGAAAAGTTCTTTGAGCATGCGCAAACAGTTTTTTTAAACCCGGAATTTTTTGCGCATGCTCAAAGAACTCTTCCGTTCCTCCTAAGCGCAAATAGTTCTGAATGGAGAACAAGCTTAAAGCTTATATACTTCAGCATAATTCATTGTTACATTACTTATGCAAATATTACATGGGCAAGTTGTCCACCAACAAAACTTAAAAAAATTCTTTCCTTACAAAAACATGCTTGTAGAATTATATACAACAAAAAAAGGGGGGACCACACTAAACCTTTAATGATGGATATGAAAATGATGAGCATATATCAGATAAATATTTTCCAACACCTAAACTTTATGTATAAATATACCAATAATCTAACTCCTGAAATCTTCATAAGTAAATTTAATAAAAATTTAAATGAGAAGTATTTCTTAAAAATAAATCAAAGTAACACATATAAATTGCCTTAAAAAGTAAACAAATACACAGAATATAGTATAACTTATAGAGGTCCCAAGCTATGGAACTCTTTTCTGAAAGACAATTTAAATATGGAAAAATCTTTAAATTCATTTCAGTTTCAAACAAAAAATTACATTCTAAATCTTACAGAATAATTTTTATTTTTGTTTACAAAAAAAATTTTTTTAGCATTATATCTGATTATTTAACAGTTTGTATTTTTAAATATTGTATGTAATCTTTATATATTATATGTTGAATATAATATCATATATTTAATTGGAAATTTGTATTTAAATATATTCTTTTATAACTTTTTGTGACTATTAGTATTTATTAATATTATATCTTTTTAACTATATATATAAGTATATATATATATACTTTTTACTATATGTTCTTTATTCACTATATGTATTTTTAAATGTTATATCTTCTTTTTTGACTAATTGAGGGTGTTTTTACTTTTAATTGATACATCTTTTTTCTCTATTTTTATTCTTAAATATTATATCTTCTTTTTTACTATTTCTTTTTTTTTGTCCTAAATTTTCTACTTGATTTATTAACTATATATTACCATATATTATTGTTATGATCTGTAGGGGCTCTATGAAAAGATCAGGTTGGTATTTTGCCATCCATATCTTCTTTGAGCCCCTGACTGTTTATTACTTTTGTAATTATATTTTATTTTTGATGAAAGGAAATTGTAATTTATATAAACAACAAAATAAAATTAAAAAAAAAAAAAAAAAAATAGAACCTTCTTAATTGCCTTTGGAAACAAAAGTTAAAATTTTGGCTTGAATTTTATTTTCGCATGTCATTTTGCAGCAAATTATTTTCCATCATAATTCATCCTTCTCTATTCATTTTCAAATGATCGCCTATCAATTTAAAATTTTTTAGTTTTTTTTTTATAAAGTAAATTAAAATATTTTGAAATAAGCTAGTTAAAGCTTTTAATGGTTTTTTTAATAGTTTTAACTAAGTAAATTCACTGCCTTTCCTTTATTTCTCATTGGTTGTTGTCGCGTTTTTTATCGAATACTACATGAATTTTATATGTATTTTATTGTTTTCGGAAATCTTAAAAAATAGTAATAAATACGTAATATTGGTAGTCTAAAACTTGTGCAAGGTACAAGTTCATAATTTTGTATATAAATATTATCGCATTTTTTTTTCTTTTTTTTTTTTTGATGAAAAGTTTTTAAGTTATTCAAATAACAAATACAGCGAACGCTCTATATAAGCAACCTCTCTATAAGCAAGATTCTTTATAAGCAACCTCTATAGAAGCAACTTTTTTTAGTTCAAATGTTCTGCATAAGCAACTTATTTTTTTAAGTTGAATATTTGAGTTAAGTTTAGGCTAATTCAGAAGTAAAATCAGCTGTTCACAATAACATAACCTCAAATTATAAAAAATTCTGTTATGCCATGCGTAAAAGCATAAAGGGGGTAAACATAAATTGAATTTGATGATGAGAGAAAAATCAAAATCTCTTTTATTCCAATCGCTTTTCAGAACAATTTTTTCTCTTTGTTAAAATCAAACAAAGTACAGTAAACGTTCTATATAATAAACAACCTCTCTGTAAACAACATTCTTTATAAGCAACCTCTAAAACTAAAACTATGCAATTAAAAAAAATTATTAATATTTTTTGTCAAGGTTTTTTTTAATGCGTATATTAATTGGGTATCTGAGTTTGTTTTTTTTTATAAAAAAAAAACAAAAAAAAAAACAGTTGTTAACAAAAAGGCTAACTTCTTAGTATTTTTTTAAATAACTAATTACAATATGTAAATGATCTAATGTTTTTAGCTACACTAAAATCTCTTTGTTGCTTCAAAAATATGAATTTGCCAGTATATTACAAATCATCTAAAAATGCTTGGCAAACTTATACACTTTTTAACGACTGGTATAGTGATATATTCATTCCTCCAGTAACTTGACACTTGAAAACTAAAAACCTCTTTGTAAAAGTCTATTTCTTAGTAGATAGTGCAACTCGCCATGGGTCTGAAAACAATTTTACTGAAAACCCAAATTTTAAGGTTATGTTTTTCCCTCTTAATAACACATATAACACATAATGATAACACACCATTATTGCAACCACTAGATCAAAATGTGATAAAATCACTAAAACAACGCTATCGCAAACATCTAATTAGATGTCTTGCAGCCTTAGATGCAAGGAATAGTTTCAGCACTGAAAAATACATATTTGAATGATGTTATTTATTTAGTGGTACAGACATGATATGAAATTCCCAAGTCAGTTTTTCTTCAAGTGATGAAATTCAATACAACATTTATTCCAATCGCTTTTCAGAAGAAGATGATATGAGTGGGTCAGAAGCCAAGGGGTACAAGTAACATTTTCATAGTTTTGAGATACAGCTGTTTAAAGTTAAAGTATTTTTGTTAAATATACTCAGCTGTTGTTATGTTTTTCCAGTAGAAAGCAGCACAGGGCAGAGATTCACTTGTATCCCTTGGCCACCAACAATTTTTTTTTTGCTTCTTCTACCAAATTCTATACTTAACTTAATTTTGGTAAAATTGTCATTTGTACCCCTTGGCTTCTGACCCACCCATATTCCGTTTGCAAGATTGTTTAATTCGATATTTAATTATTGTAATTTAGCAGATGCTGAAATTATGGAGTGGGTAAGTTGAACAAGCGAAGCAAATCATTCATTTAACCTTGAAGAAAATCATGAAGTAGAAAGTGAAACTACTCCTGTTAAAAAAAAATGAAAAATTGTTTGATGACTTCAATAAAAACATCAATGATGTTGTAATTTCTTTTAATTTGATGATAAAATGTGCAGAAGAAAATGACTTACCCTGCAATAAAGTTCTTTTGTTACTAAAAATAAGAGAAAAGGCTATCATGGATAAATATATGTAATTTTTTTTTGTTTTTTTTTGGCAATTAGTCCTGCACTAAACCAAAGATTTGTTAAAATTTGATTTTTTGATATTTTTTTTTCTTGATGAAATTATTAACTACGCTTATATGATAGTAATAATAATAAAATATTTTCTTTTGCAAAACAAAATAGAATTTATTTTTTGTTCACAGTTTAGTTAGTATAAGAAATAAGTAGAAATATTATACTTATTTCTTTTACTAACTAAACTGTAAGTTTAATTAGTAAAAGAAATAAAGGTAAGTATTTTTATATACTCCTTTTTTCCCTATAAGCAACTTTTCCCAAAACTTTTTTTTCTTTCGTTTTTAACAAAAATAAAGTCCCTACAATAAGTTGCCTTCTTAACTTTAGTGGCTCCCTAAGCCTCGAGGAGGTGAATGCAAGCTTAAAAAAAACTAATAATAAGAAAAGATCTCTATTAAAAGCATACTTGAAAGTATGGCTTCATTGACCTGCACTGCAGTATTTAAGGTTTCTGTTAATGTACTTTTTTAAAAAACAATTGATAGATTTTAACAAAAACTTTCTAAATAAGATTGAATCATCAGATTATGTTAATAAGGCAATATTTTAAATCAGTAAATTGCCTTTCTTTTAAAGTAAAAACAACACTTTCTATTTGATAATGTTACTAGCAGTGTCTTGCAAAGTATATAAAAAATTTTTAAAAAAAGTATGCAGATAGCATTAGCAATGAACACCAAACTGTTGTCAAATTTTCAGCGATGAACACCGAACTGTTGTTAAATTTTCAGAAAGTATGCTTTGTCTGCAAGACGAATTAAATAACAGTCAACCTTAAAATCAAAAATTGTGTGCATGTCAATCAATCCAAATTTTCCTCTCATTTTTTTCATGGATGAAGACAACTAACAGTGGAGTTGAAATAATCCAGCTAGAATCAACAATATTGTAAAAAGAGCTTCCTGATGACTTAAAGTGGAAGAATCAAGCATTTTAAATCTATTTTTATAAATTTTTATATAATGTAAAATATACTTGAAGATTGTGCAAAGCTGATATGTTTTTGACTTTTACAATTTTACTATTATTTACAATTTTACTATTATTTTTTAGATAACTATTGACACTATTGATAATCAATTTAAAAGTAAACTTATAAAGATTTTTTCAACTGAAAAAAGAATTGAAACAATTGATTTTGGTGTAAAGGATCGCTATTTAACTGTTGAAAATTTGGTATTTAACTCAGGATCTATAAGTAAGATCAATTTTATGTTGTTTATTATTTTTTTTCATCATCTTAAAACATAAGTTTTTATTTTTTAAAGTTTTTTTAAACTAAATCAATAATTTAATTAAGATAACAATGATTTTCTTAGATGACTTGGTAATAGAAGGTAAAACAGGTGAAAAAGTCAAAGAAAGTAACAGCGAAGATGAAGAGAATGAAGAAGATGAAGAAAATAGCGGTGAAAAAGAAGGTAACAACAACAATAAAAAATAATAATAATTTTTAAACAGTTTTTGATTATATTTTGGTGATATAACAAAAAGTATATATCAAATGTGTGTTTTTTTTTAAATAAAAATAGCCTAAAAAAGTTAAAATGTTCTTGTCAAAAAAGTTTATTTTTCAAGGTTTTTTTTGTTAATCTAGCAAAATACATTTTCAGAGTAGGAAAAAAAAGGCATTTACACATTTATAAAATATTAAAATTTCCATTATTAGGATTCATCCATAATTAACTGTTCGTAGGGTATACTCTATTTCATTTTCTCTATTCCATTTGACCCAATTTTACTTTTCAATGAAGTTTTTGATGTTGATTTTGAATACGCCATTATCATTTTGTTGCTCTTTATTAGATAGAGGTAATTGTAACAATGCCAATATAATGACAATTTATTTTACTTTTTTATTGTAAGTATTTTGTAGTAATAGAAATACGATTCAGGTTTTTCTTTGCCATTTTTATGATATAGAGGAAGTTTTTGGTAACAAATTTATATAACACAAAAATTTTAACTTCTATCTTGTTTTTTAAAATAAGACTTATTTCTCTTTCTTTGATTGAGATCGAATAGGAATACAATGTATGCCAATAAATTGAGTAGTTCTTAAACAGCCGCACACAACTATACTAATTTTACTTATAACCTGATTTGGATTTAGAGTAACAAACTGATATAAAGATAAATTAAAAACATTGTGTTAAGATAAAACATTTACCTGAAGTATGTAAAATGTAATTATTTTCTTTTTGTTATTTTGTGATTTTTAAAAGTTGTTTAGGAAATTTTTTCGCAAAGATTTGACTTAAAAGTTTTAGATTTAGAATGATTTGCAGAAATTCAACCTTTTTGAAATATTTCTTTACTTTTTTTCTCCTGCTTTAATGTTTTTTTCTCCTGCTTGTTTTACTTTTTAGACCAATAGTTTTTATATAAAGTTTCCTTAAACATTATTATAAGTTGTGAAAATGTGAAAAATTTATTTTATTATTTTTTTAATTATAATTAAGTAATAGTTGCTATTTAGGTTTGTAAACCAAAATTAAAATTAAAAAATTGAAATTAAACCTAAATTGAATCACTAACTTGAAAAAGGGGACATGTCCTGCAAAAATTCACGTTTTTTTTTTGTTATTTTTCCTACGTGAAAATAATAAATAAAAAAATTTTAACGTTTGGCTACTAAAATACTCTAAATAAATAAGTCAGATAAGAAACCGTTTATTTAAAATTAAATTAATTAATTTAATAATTAAATTAAAGATGTGTTGTCATTAGCCCAACCGTCCTGTTTGGCTGCTGACAGGCATTTTTTTTTTAATTTCAGTTGCCCTTGTTGAAAACAAGTTATCCTGTGCCACCGGACAACCATGAGAGTACACCCCTGTAAATTTATTTCAATTCATTATAAATTTTTATTTATTATTTATTTATTAAAAACAATTAACAATTACCAAGATATGCAACATAATAAAACTCTAACCAAAAAGTTTATTTATAGTTTTATAATTTTTAGATTTGAAAAGATCACTACATGGAGTTAAAGCATTTAATACACTTAAAAAAGACAACGATGGAGTTTTGGAAAAATCCTGGCAACTTTACTTTGACCTTGTAGTCCCACGACTTGTTTCTGGGGTAGTTCTCAAAATAAAAAGCTTGACTAACCCAAAAGTTTTAGACCTTATACTTCGCGTTAATAATTATGATACTAAAAGTTTAAATTTGGTTCAAATTATAACAGATTCTGAAGGCTTTCAATCTTCTAATATATTAGCTAAGTTTGATATGGATCGTAACTTATGGGAAAAAGCTATGAAAGTAAAAATTTTCAAAAGTGATGGTATACAGGTAATTTGATTTTAAAACTATAGAAAATTATTTGTAATGTTCATTTTTAAACTTTTTTATTTTTTTATATTTGCTTTTAAAATAATTAGTTTTTTATTTAACTTAATTTAACTTCTCACAAAAAAAGTTTAAAGCTCTTAAAAAGGAAATATGGTGCATTAAAAGAACACTGTAAGCAAACACTCCTCCTCTGTCATCACTACCACTTCACCCATACCTTTATGCCAAGTTTAAATTTGTTAGTTATTTTCTTATAAAGATCATTTTTTTTGTGTCGCTTGTAGTTTCACATGAAAATCAATTGCAACAGTGATTGTTTGCTATAACAATTTCACTCGTAACTTTGTATTAAATTTCTTATTTGTAAAAAAAATCAAAAAGTAGCAGCAAAAATAAATATTTAATATCTATTTTTGCTGCTACTTTGAGTTTTTTTTTTTTTAAATAATAATATTATTAATATTTTTGATGGTATAAACATTTTCTTTAAACAATGATAGAAACACTTTAATTGAAAAATTAATGACTCAAATATATAGACTTTTAGATTAAAATAATTAAATTTATACAGGAAAACTTATAAATAAATATATAAATTTATAAATTTATATAGACTTTTATAAAAAATAACAATAGAAACACTTTGATTGAAATAAGAAAGACTTAAATTTATATAGACTTTTATAAAAAAATATATAATCAATTATGAAAATTACAAAATTACAATATTATTACAACAATAAAATAAATGATAATAGTAAATAATAATCGATAAATAATAGATTAATAAAACAATAATAAAGCGGTAAAATGTTGTTTTTTTTGTATAAAAATATTTATTAAGAGATTAAAATGCTTTTAAACTTACTTTCAACCTCTTTTTCAACATTGGTATCAATACAAAAAACTTAAAACTTATGTTTAATGAAAAAATTTATACTTACCTTTACTTATGATTAATCTACATAAATTAAAAGTATTTTATTAAAAAATAAGCAATAGGCCAGAAAAGGTAACTGACTGTAGCTTATAGAAATGGTTGTATAAATAAAATGACACCGCTCACAAAAGTGACCTTGTAAATTATAATAAAGTACTCTAATCTGAAAAAACTAAAAAAATCATTAAAATTATGCACCAAGTTGAAAAACTTCCATTTTAAAGAATTACAGAATTGTAACTAAAAACTAAAAATAACTTAAGGTAAATAGTAAATGCTGTACTATTAACATATAGATATAAGAAAAGTAACTCTAATTGCTGAAACCTTATTTGTATTGATTTAGATTATGAAAATGAAATTTTAATGTATAATTTTTCTTAATCTTTTTTTATTTGTGTAAAAAAATGTTTGCCTTTCATGCCAAATTTTATTTATCTTTTGTTAAACTTTCAATGAAAATTTCTTAAAAGAAAAAACCAGACTCTCTCTCTAAAATATATAATGCATCTGTAAAACCTCTACGCGTCAGGTTAAATCTAAAAAAAAAAATGTAGTTAAAAAAGTTAAAATTTTTATAAATTTTTTTGAATGTTCAACCACGATTATTGCATCATCTAAACATCACCACTACACCACTTTACTTATACACAACTTTATTTCTGATAAGTTTGATGGTTCTACTATTTGGGGTAAAAACCTTGATGGTTCTACTATTTGGGGTAAAAAGTGTATATAAATTTTCAGCTATGGCTCTGGCAATTTTATTTTTGTGCATTTTTTTAGTTAATTGTTGATGATCATTATAAAAGTGCTCTGATAAATAGCGAATCTCTCCCTGAATATGCATTAAGAAACGCTTTGATTGATTTCAAAGAAAAAAATGAAGGAATAACTGTTAAAAATATGATGTTCATCAATGGAGAGTCAGGTATGTGATTAGTTTCAGTTAAAACATTTTTTTTTTTTTAAACTGCACATAAATCTTATATAATCCTAAAATTTAAATTGGCAATAATTCTTAAAATTTTAATAATAATTTATTTTATTTATATAAATAATAATAACAATAATAATAATAATAATAATAATAATAATAATAATAATAATAATAATAATAATAATAATAATAATAATAATATATATATATATATATATATATATATATATATAAATATGTATATATTTATACTTAATCCATATGTTAGGTCACAATTTGCCCTTTAATTTTTTAGCAAAAGAGGAAAAAAGGAAAAAGAATAAAAAAAATATATTTCTACCCCATGCCAAACCCTCAATCATTGTCGTAGTACTCCTTTGCAGATCAGGCTATTTGATAGTCGATATATGTACTCTATGCCTCTTCAACTTCCTGATTAATTATGTTGTCATCTGCGTGCTTTCAATGCTGCATTTCTATATGTCTATTTATGATATTTAAATATAATATATTTAATGATATAGTAATATAATATATAATATAATGCATAATTTTTTACTATTTAGCACTACGATCATTTAAAACAGAAAAATTGTTCACAACATTTCGTATTCTTGTTGATTTAAGAATTACTAAAAAGAGGTATACATGCAACATACTTTTTATATATTAATTTTTTTATATCAACCTATTAAACATCAATTGAAACAATACTAATGATGTCAACAATACTGATGATGTCAACAGTACTGATGATGTCAACAATACTAATGATGTCATAAACTAATAGGCAGTAATGAATAAAGTTTTAGTAATAAACTAAATAAATTTAAATAAATCTTGTGGAAATAAAAAAAAAATCTAAAATCTCACATATATCAGTAAAGTAAAAAAACAATTAAACACTCTACTGAAAATTTACTGAATATATGTAATTTTAAAATTAAAAAAAATTTTTTTTTAAAGTCTTGGTTTAGCCTCTTAGTTTCTTTTTATCTTGACAATTAAGTGCATTCTTTTTTTTTAGATTAAACAGAAAAAGTTCTTTTCAGCGTCTCTCAAATATTTTTTCTGTTTATGTGATTTTTGCTCTTAACAGGGTTAACTGAAGAAGGATCAAGCTATTAGCTGTGATTTTCAAATATTTATATTGCTAAAGTATCTCCCAGAAGTCTATTATCCCCTTATCTAAAGTAGCATTTTTTTTTTATTTTTGAATTATTTACCAATTTTTTTTTTAACCTGAAATTATTATTAGTATTCTATGAATACAAAAGGTTTAAAAGGCTAACAAACTTGTTTCTTTTCCTTGTTCTCATATATTAAATGAATTTGGAATGTTTTCAAAAATAATATTTTCAGTTAACAACTCTTTTTCTTTAAACTCGTCATAATGTTGGATGTAGAAATTCAAATTTTAATTCTTATTTTTAAGAAATAATCTGTTTTACTCCTGATATTATCTTCTCAATTTAACATTTTTAATATATATATATATATATATATATATATATATATATATATATATATATATATATATATATATATATATATATATATATATATATATATATATATATATATATATATATATATATATATATATATATATATATATATATATATATGTGTGTGTGTATATATATATATATATATATATATATATATATATATATATATATATATATATATATGTGTATATATATATATATATATACAGTGACGTATCCAGAAATTTTTTGGGCATACCGGTCTAAAAATCCTGTCTACCTAAGAAACCCTTTTTTTTTTTTTTTTTACTAAAATTTAAATAGAATTTATTTGTATATAATATATAACTCACCCTAGATTTTTAGGTTTTTTCTAACAAAAATTTAAATAGTTAATCAAAATGTTACATTTATTACAGAACGACGGCTTTAACTACAACATCGATTCATCGCTACTCGCTACTTTTCATTTACTTGCTCCATTCACTTACTATTTAATGAAAATTACGTTAATGAAACGTAAGCGGAGGAGAAACTCAAATTAATGTATTTTAAAAATGTTATTTAAAAATCCTAAGCGTTTCATATTTTAATCCAATCAAAACGTGCGTTTTACATTTAATCCAATTACAACATATTCTTTATTTCATCAACGTGAATTTGAATTAGGCATTTTGGTTGGCTTTAAAGGTCGTTTTTCAAATGTTGGTGTTTCTGTGATCACAACAAATGCTAATATAAAACTGTTTTAAATTGAGTTTGGGCTGAAATTTGGGGGCCCATACCGGTATACCGGTATCAAAATCGGTCTGGATATGTCGCTGATATATATATATATATATATATATATATATATATATATATATATATATATATATATATATATATATATATATATATATATATATATGTATATATATATATATATATATATATATATTGAGTTTGGGCTGAAATTTGGGGGCCCCTTATGTTTTCATATCAAACAAACTGTGAGAGGTTTTTTTATCTAGATTATACAAAGAATGTAGAGTTGATCCATCAAAAAGTGACAGTCATTCCACCCACCTCATATTTTTTTTAAATTTCAACCAATGGTACTTATTAAACAAACATAAAAAAATTTAGCTTTGAAACTTTTTTTTACCATGCCTGCTAATATGAGATTTGTTGTTAACTTAATGATTAATTTTAATTTAAAAATTTTTTTAATTTAAAAGTTCTATAAAATAAAATAAAAAATAAATATCTGATCACTTTGAAGGTGCTAAATTTAAAGATGATGACAAATTAGCCCAATTCAAAATTTTTAGCAATTTTAGACCTAGTTTCTTTTTTTTTTTTAGAAGTTGTCCTGAATAATTAAGTTATAGCTATTACAAAGAATTGGAGACTGGTCTTTTTTAAAACAGAAATAAAACATGGTCAATTCTACTTAAATTTATTGCTTCAAAAACAGGTATTTTGATTAAATTAAACAAGAAAAAAATGTGGTAATTTGACAGTTTTGTAACTGAAACAGTTTTGGCTACATCAAACTGTTCTTTTAGTTGTTATTGACTAGTTGTTTCTGTTTTCTTTGTAATTTTATAGAATCTGATCCTAAAAATTGTTAGTTTCAAAGGGGGAGAATTATATAAATGCTTGTTGGTGTTATAACAAATAATCAGATTGCGGTCTTAAATCAGAAATAAAAACATCTTCAAATATACTTAAATTTATTACTCATAAAACATTAGTTTCATATTTAACAAACTCCAAAACAAATAGAGCACTTAAAAAGAAGTTCAAGAAACATAAGTAATATACAAAATTTAAAAATCAAAAACTCAAAAAAATTCACATCAATGTTATATGTTTGCCCTGATTTTATTGTTATGACTTCGATTACTGCAATCAAACTTGAAAATGGTACCCAACAGATATCATCTCTCTGTGGCCAAATAAAGTTTTGAGAAGGATCATAATGGTGCAAAAACTTAATTTGAATATCATTTGTAGTAATAACTATCTCTGTAACCATGCCTATCCACCAAAAGGTACTTGCATGCAACAAAATCATTTAGATTTGGTACAATTACAACATCAGACATTACTGCTTTTGACAGTATAAATCTATCAACACATTGATGTTCGCTTGTTCTTTTAAAACTAATTTCAAATTTTAAAATGTGTATGTAATGATGATAACTTCTGGTACCTTGTACAGTTTTTCCTGTTTCAAATCGCTCCTTTAGTTGCTGTCACCTTGCAATAACTGTTTCTTTGGTAATCAAATTTTATAAAATATGATTGTGTTTATATGGGTGATGCAAAACTCAAGCATATCATCAACTGTTAATATTTGGTTTTCCAATGGCCTTTGCAAACTTGCTCTTGTTGTTATTCTTTTAATGGTACCACCTACAACGGTACCACCTATGCCGTTACAAGTGGATTTTCCATGGCTGGTTGCAAAAAAGCTGTAATCTCAAAATTTTCTTTATGGTGGCATAGATTTATAAAGTTTGTATAGCTTTTATAATGAGCAGAACGTTCATCAGAAAAATAATAAATTTTATTGATACCAATTAAATATTCTTTAATGTACTCTACAATTTTATTTTGAAATTCATACACAAAGCATGTATCATGATCATTGCCATCACTTAAAAAACAGAATGACTTATGCTGAATATTTGTTTTAGAAATTTCCTTAAAATATATAACAGCTGGAGGAAGTGTACATTGTTGTTTATTTCAATGATAACATTGTATTTCATCTTCATTCATTTCAGAACAAATTGATAGTTCTCTGCAAAATCTGCCTGTATAATACATTCATTGTAACCTAAATTATTTTTTAGCTCTTTCAAATAGTGAGTTTGGCATTTAGCAATATATGAATGTGAAGTTAGATGATTAATGTGAGAAACAACTAATTCGTCGTTATATTCAAATAAATTAACTGTCTGATTGATTAATTTTGACCTATCAGTACTTTGCCATTGATTGAATTGAATTTCTTCTTCTTCATCAATCTCAATTAATTCCTCATCTAAAAATGCCTTTAGGTTATCATAACCTGGACTTTTAGCACATCAATGAACCATGCATTCATTATTGCTTGTATCACATGCTAATTTTGGCATTGAATCTTTGTATGTAACATTCCATTGGACAGCATTTACAAGCAATATTGAGTTTTGATGGTGAATACAAACACATACAGAGTGTGTATCGTTTGGTCCCACACTAATACACCAACTTTAAGTTTTTCTTTCATTAAAGTTGTCATATGATCAAGATCATTTGCTTTTTTTTATCTGTAGGATGACTGGAAAAAGTTGAGGCTACACTTAAGTTATCTATATTTACTCCATAAGCACTTGCTACTCCTTCCATTTTTGTGTAGGCTTTGACTAATTTTCTTTTTGCTGTTACAACTTGTTAATGCTTTGCTACTCCATGAACTTTAATTGACAAGACTCCAATTGATATTAAAGAGTTTATTAGATATTAAACTGTTGTTTATTACAAGATTTACCTTTAACAAATAATACATCGCCATTAATTTTACAATCCATTTCATTATCAGAAACTTCATCAAAATTTGAATACATTAGCGACAAAATTTCCATCCTGGTTTACAGTCTAGATTTTAGGATTTAAGGTTACGAGCCATTTCAAGAGATATGGTTATTTGATCTAAAATAAAATAATTAATTTTTAATAAACATTATACTCTCTCTCTCTCTCTCTCTCTCTCTCTATATATATATATATATATATATATGTATATATATATATATATATATATATATATATATATATATATATATATATATATATATATATATATATATATATATATATATATATATATATATATATATATATATATATATATATATATATATATATATATATATATAGTCTTGCATGTCACAAAGTTTTTCCCATAAACTGTTGTTTTAAAGAGCGTGTTAATAAGCCTGACCAGAAAATGTTGAAAAACTTCAAAAAAAATTTTTTTTTTAAATGATAGACTGCCTGCCCAAACCAAACCCTCAGTCGATGTAGCAGCACTCTCTTGCGAGCCAGGCTATTTGTCAGTCGATGTAGCAGCACCCTGTTGCGAGTCAGGCTATAAGATAGTCGATGTAGCAACAC